TAGTGCTCTTTGCCGATGACACGGCTATCTACTACTCGTGTAGGAAGAATTCGCTATTGCATCGGCGACTCCAGATCGCAGTAGCCATCATGGGACAGTGGTTCCGGAAGTGGCGCATTGACATCAACCCCACGAAAAGCACAGCGGTGCTCTTCAAAAGGGGTCGCCCTCCGAACACCACTTCGAGCAGCCCACTTCGTAATAGACGCGTTAACACCTCCGCCGTTAGCCCCATCACTGTCTTTGGCGAGCCCATACCGTGGGCCTCGAGGGTCAAAATTAAATATCTAGGCGTCACCCTCGACAGAGGGATGATATTCCATCCCCACATCAAAACGGTACGCGACCGTGCCGCCTTCATATTAGGTGGTCTTGATTTGCAAGCGAAGCAAATTGTCCCTTCGAAATAAGGTGACACTCTACAAAACTAAATACGCCCCGTCATGACGTAAGCAAGTGTATTGTTCGCTCACGCAGCCCGCACCAACTTGAAACCTCTTCAAGTTATTCAATCCCGTTTTTGCAGGATAGCCGTCGGATGATTCTTATGGAAGTGGATCTCCATGATGACCTGGAGCTTGACTCAGTCAGTAAGTATCTGCAGTCGGCATCATTGCGCCACTTTGAGAACCCACTTGTCGTGGCCGCTGGGAATTACATACCCGATCCTGTAGACCGAATGGTAAATAATCGACGTCGCCCGTCGCTTGCAACGATGGGCTCGGCGAGCGAATTAACCCATAGACACAGCCCACTGAGTTTCTTGCCGGATCTTCTCAATGGATCGCGTTTCCGATCCGGTGGTAGATTCTGCGAAGCACTGCTCTTACTAGGGCCAGTGTTAGCAGCACTCTGGTTTGACCTGTCACCGTTCTCGTCGAACCCGTCGCTTGCGACGAAGGGCTCGACGAGTAAATTAACTCTCAGACACAGCCCACTGAGTTTTTCGCCGGATCTTCTCAGTGGGTCGCTTTTCCGATCCGGTGGTAGATTCTGCGAAACACGGCTCTTGCTAGGGTTCGTGTTAGCAACGTCATCAGATTTGAGCCCCGTGAGCTCACATACTAGCCACGGTTACGCTGAAATAGCCCCTAAGGCTATCAGCTTAGGCAGGAAAAAAAAAAAAAAAAAACTGTGGTTTGAGCCCCGTGAGCTCACCTCCTAGTTAAGGTTACGCTGAAATCGCCTCTCAAGGCTATCAGCTTAGGGATCCTTCGGCTGGTCGTAGGACCGTCGAGGCGATTCGCCCGGTCCTTGTGGATTGGGTGAATCGTGACAGAGGACGCCTCACTTTCCGGCTCACGCAGGTGCTCACTGGGCATGGTTGTTTCGGTGAGTTCCTGCACCGGATCACAGCCGAGCCGACGGCAGAGTGCCACCATTGTGGTTGTGACTTGGACACGGCAGAGCATACGCTCGTCGCCTGCCCCGCATGGGAGGGGTGGCGCCGTGTCCTCGTCGCAAAAATAGGAACCGACTTGTCGTTGCCGAGTGTTGTGGCATCGATGCTCGGCGACGACGAGTCGTGGAAGGCGATGCTCGACTTCTGCGAGTGCACCATCTCGCAGAAGGAGGCGGCGGGGCGCGTGAGAGACGCANAGAGCATACGCTCGTCGCCTGCCCCGCATGGGAGGGGTGGCGCCGTGTCCTCGTCGCAAAAATAGGAACCGACTTGTCGTTGCCGAGTGTTGTGGCATCGATGCTCGGCGACGACGAGTCGTGGAAGGCGATGCTCGACTTCTGCGAGTGCACCATCTCGCAGAAGGAGGCGGCGGGGCGCGTGAGAGACGCACAATCCCACTGCCGTCGAGCGGGGGCCAGGGAGGCGGATCTCACCCTAGCCCTGGCCCTATGAGTGTTTCGGGTCCCCCTCACATATCGGTCTGGGGACCGGCGAGGGGGGCCTAAGAAGACAACGTGCAAGCTGCTCTGCACGCGTTTTACGCAAGAGCATCCGGGTGATGGAAGGCCGGCTATCCTCGACCCACGCTGGTTCTGGCCCAGCGGGGTATTCCGTAGGGTAACCCACTCTAACCGGCGCCATCTAGGCGGGCTTCGGACAGTCTGCCGACCGAGAGGGCTGGTGGTCGGGGCGCCGACGACCGCCAGTCTGGCGTCCCAAGGGGGAGGGTGATGGGAGAGATGTGCTCCGCACTAAACGCTTCACTTTCCCCCCTGTGCCTTGTCATGAATTCTGTCTCATGCGAGGTTTGGACGTTGGTTGTTGAGCGACAGGAGGTTTTAGTCAGTTCGACTCTGACATACCCCGCCCAGTATCCCCAGAAAAGGGCGGAAGTCCGGCGATTTCCTCCTGACCAAAAAAAAAAAAACATCATAGATAATATTTAAGACTCGGGTGTCAACTTAGTATTCCAAAGTGCATTTTTTTAAATATCTCCATTAACGAATGCTCAGATATAACTTAAACTCGTATCACGTACTAGATCCCTTCACATATTTCACTTAATGAATGGTTCGATCGTCAAAAGATCATAGAGAATTTCGCAAATTTTCCCGAATCCCTCAGGCGGCCCCATAAAATCGTGTATTCGTTAACTAGACCGCAAATTAAACTCACGTACTACAGAATATTTCAATAAAGCCCCGCCTCGCCGGTTAGGTTGAATTAAAACGGTTAATTTGACTAGGTCTGGGCTCACGGCCTGCGGATCTCGAGATAATTAGATCGAGGGTAATAAGGGCGCGTAGACCGATTTTTTTTTCGTATGTAGGTCCATAAATACCCTACATATAAATATGTGTATGCCGTCTAATGAATACTGGGCTGTGTATTAAATGACGCATTAAAAGACACCACTACATGAGTAGTGTGAGTACGCCAAACATGAGTAATTCAGTTCAAAGTTTATTACACCTGGCTTCTGAATCTCAGATGTAAGCGAGCTAAAATAGTCAAACAAAATTGAATCAAATACAAATAAATTGTCAAATCGTAGTAATATGACGCGATAGTTTTTCTTAACATTACATATCTATTGAGAAAAACGAATAGTACGACATTAAACACCAAAACCCGATAGATACGCGTATCACCCTACTGAATATCAAAGGAATAAAAGTTCTTTAAATTATCAACAAACGAGTAACAATAGACACATTACAAAGTTCGGAAAAATAAAACAATAATTCAAAAAAAAGGTGGTATTCGAAATTTATTATCGTGTAAGCATTAAAACTGCTGTTTCACAACTATTAATCACTACGGGCGCGCTCGCGGGACAATGCGTATCAAACGGAAGTCATAAATAATATTCACCTTGTTGCGTTTCCAAAATGGCTACCACGCGGTCGCATGAAATGGCGGAATAGAGAAACGCCGGTATGAGTTGTCGTTTTGAGTTTGACTTTTTTGTTGCTCTAGATAGTCAAACAAACTCAAGAACAGTTAAGATCGAAGACTTATTTGTTTTAAACCGACTGCGCTACCATTCAAGCTGGAATACGATACTACTCCGTGGTAAAGATAGCCAGTATGGTATTTCCATGTTGACTCACAATTCTACCCCATAATTACGTATTACGGACTTCTGTGGATCCGCACGGATAAGTACCACCAACCCGCCTATTTCTGCCGTGAAACAGTAATTCGTTTCTGTTTGAAGGGTGGGGCAGCCGTTGTAACTATTCTGAGATCTTAAAACTCTTATCTCATGGTGTGTAGCGGCATTTACATTGTAGATGTCTATGGGCTCCAATAACCACTTAATACCAGGTGGACTGTGAGCTTGTCCATCCATCTAAGCAACATAAAATTAAAAAAATAAAATTTCATCAAAACATGTCGTTATGTTTGTATCAAAAAATAATAAAATAAAAAAAACGCGCCGCCGCGCCGGTTTTTTTTTCTGTTTTCCCAGACTCACAAGAAAAATACTTTTACGGTTTCATCTCGCGTTTGTTGTTGTCATTATTTTATTTCTGACGCTTCGAGTATTTTACAGGTTTCGTGGTCGCGAACGACTAAGGAGTTATTTCATCGACACTTGCCAGATTTCGACGAATAACAGTAAATTATGTCAACGAATTTACGCGCGAAATCCGAGATGATTTACCTTCACTCGTATTTCATTTTCATTTAACCGTTGTTGAGGAAGAAGACGCGAGCGATGGTGTTACGAAAAGGAACATTTTATTAATTTCCTTTCAGCTTGTATGTTAACGAATTAACGTTGCGTCATACAATGATGGCTGTGATTGGCCAACGATGACGTCATATCGCACGAACCAATCACAAATCAGGAAACGCAATATCAAAATTTAAAATCAATTGTCAAAATTTAAAATTATTACACGAAGAAAAAAGATGGACGCTAACGTCAATTCTATTTTGCAAAATAATTAAAAATAATATAATGAGTATTTGAAGAAGTTAACGCATTTATTCATTTTCTTGGCCAGCTCAAGATCTCTAAGAAATAGACGCAATATTGACTTTTTATATAACGGCAATTGCAGAGGTACATTTCAGTGTATTGAAAGTGTCCGCTAAAAGAGAGCCAATTAAGATGGCGCCATAGTGTCAAGTGGAAAGATTAAATAAATAATAGTTTAAAAAAACTAACAAAATGCGCTTTTATAGAAATAAATAAAACAAAAAAATAGAAAATAAATTTTAATAAATTTGAATTAAAAATAGTGTAAGAAAAAATTATTTTATTATAAAAAAAAAGCGTGGGGTGCATGGTATCAGTAGTTATAAATATTTTATGAACAGATATGAGTAGAAGGGTTATTTTGATAATATCCTGAAAAGCACCCCACGTGCTGCGTGTGCAGTGTGCTTAGTGGGAGTTTTTAACGCTCTCGATAGCGTAAAAGTTAACTCATATTTGTATGGAGTCGGAATAGCGCCCCTAGCGGCAAACGTAAGCAAACGTTGCAACTCCATACAAATTTAAGTTAACTTTCACGCTATCGACAACGTTAAAAAACTCACACTAAGCACACAGATAATAAATAAAAATACGACGAATTCTCAATTTAATTTATTTGTCTCATTAAAAAAATATATAAAATCATCAAATACATTTATAAGAAAAAAAATCGTAATCATAAAAACTGCAATCTAACAAGACAGTCTTTGCAAATAATCTTTGTAACAGGATCACGTCGAGCTTCCGCCCTGAGTCGGAGCTTTCAGCCTCTCGTTTTCAGCGACTAGAGCTTTCACTCTTTGTTCGTATTTCTCTCTCAATTCCTGGAGAGTTAAAAAAAAACATTATCTCATCGTATTTAAATTAACAATCCCGTTTAAAATTCAGGGTGATATTTTCTAAGAATTAGGAATTAATAATTCATTATTAGCGTTCTGCTTGACTTCGCTTGTTTGTCGAGTGGTTAATGGAGTCCACGGACATCACGGACCTGCCTAACCGCTATCCAGACCCAGACGGGAGGGTAGTGCAGATTCGCGTAGACTCACACATCATCAGTAACATTCACTCATTTACAAAATACTAAAGCTCATTTATAACAGTATTGATCCTTTTTTTTTTTTTTTTACCTATGCTGATAGCCTTGAGAGGCTATTTCAGCTTCACCCTAACGTTTGTAGGTGAGCTCGCGGGGCTCAACCGGAGAGTTGCTAACACTGACCCTAGCAAGAGCAGTGCTTCGCAGAATCTACCACCGGATCGGAAACGCGACCCACTGAGAAGATCCGGCGAGAAACTCAGTGGGCTGTGTCTATGGGTTAGTTCGCNAAGAGCAGTGCTTCGCAGAATCTACCACCGGATCGGAAACGCGACCTACTGAGAAGATCCGGCGAGAAACTCAGTGGGCTGTGTCTATGGGTTAGTTCGCTCGTCGAGCCCTTCGTCGCAAGCGACGGGTTCGACGAGGACGGTGACCGGTGCTTGTGGTGCCTAAGAGCACCGTTAATGGATCAGGAGGATCCGTAATGACGTGCGTTGGGCGACGTCGACGGTTTACCATTCGGTCTACTGGGTCGGGTATGTAATTTCCAGCGGCTACGATGAGAGGGTTCTCATGTCGTGCCGCCTTCTCAAAATGGCGCAGCGATGCCGACTGTAGATACTTACTGACAGAGTCAAGCTCCAGGTCATCGTGGAGATCCACGTTCCTCAGGAACCATGGTGCTCAGTATTGATCCACTTAATATGTTTTTACCCACTGTACGGTTTGTCCACACAGCCCTCAGTTGTCATAATGATAACAACTCCAATATTGAGTGATTGTTTATTGATATGCTTACACTAAACTGGTGGCTGTTTATATAATAAAAATGGCACTATGCGAGTACGCGACGCCTTGCTAATGGCGGTACCCGAACTGACTCGAAAATGTGTATATATGTGTAGACATAGTATTGAGGCATCTGTTCAGTAGTTATTTTTTTCTGTATGCACCTGTTTTGAATTACAATCCAGATTATTATGTTAAACTTTTAATTTCTGAGTATAAAATTTGTTTTGTGCATCAAAAAAAAAAAATGAATGACTTTCATGTAAAAAGCATCGGTATGTTATATGATGTGCGCGCTGGCCCGTACACCCACATTTATTATTAATTGACATTTTCCAGTAATGTACGGTATCGGACAACCGCATAGTTTTGCACGCTGTACATTGCTGGCTCGATTTACTACACCGTCCCCTACCCCGGCGGCATCAGGAGGGCCGGAGGGTTGGGGGAGGGGGACCCCTCACAAAAGCTCACCTTAAATATAGCGAGTTGAGTTTCGTACTCCTTCTTGAGGTCGTCGTTGATGGTGGTGCTGGTCTGGGCGCGCTTCAGCACCAGGTCGTACCGCTCCTTCTCCGCCTTGTAGCGCGCCTCCATCGCTTGGAAGCGGTCCTGAGTACACGTCCAGGGTCAGGGGGCGACTCAGTATTGAGATGACGACTAAATAAGCTTTGAATATATTTAAATACGGCAAGACATCATTGGCCTTGGCCTCACGACGCTCTCTGCACCCTGGTGGTAGGACCTCTTGTGAGTCCGCACGGGTAGGTACCATCGCCCTGCCTAGTTCTGCCGTGAAGCAGTAATGCGTTTCGGTTTGAAGGGTAGGGCAGCCGTTGTAACTATACTGAGACCTTAGAACTTATATCTCAAGGTGGGTTGCGCATTTACGTTGTAGATGTCTATGGGCTTCAGTTACCATTTAACACCGGGTGGGCTGTGAGCTCGTCTACCTATCTAAGCAATAAAAAAACCCAGAGGTTCAAAGGTCGGGTGGGTGAGGGACAGAACTCACCTCCATGGCCTTAACTTCAGAATTCCTGATCTCCAGCAGATCCTTAGTGATCTGGTTGATGTCCTTCAGCGACGCTACTTGCGTGGTCAGAGCTTCTATCTGCAACTCCTGATTCTTGACCAGCTTCGTCTTGTCGAAGATCATGCCTCTCGCTTTGCTGAGGAGCTGTGTTTGTGAACATTTCCGAGATAAAATTGGTTATCGATAATTTTTTAGGGGTCTTTAAGCGTATGGACTTATAATGGTCTTAATGAAATGTTTTTTTTTTTTAAGCGTGCTCATGGGCGAACACATATATTGTAAAGTAACGTTTAAGAACCAATCGCAACTTATTAAATGATTTTAAATCTAATACCCACTAAACGTAGTGTGCTCATGAATGTTCAAGCGCATTATGAATTCAAATGTTTTTTTACCAATTCTGATGAAATTGAAATTGTTTTGAAAAATGTTCATGAGTGCTCACACGTGCTCACATGAGTTGATATTGGTCCGATAGTGTTTTCACATGTAAAAAAAAGCCTTAAAGTAGCCTCAACAAGTCCCCGCAGCCCGTACCTCCTCGTGTTGCAGCTTGATGCTGTTGATGATGTCTTGGTTCTTCCCCCCGGGCTTGGCCAGGGCCGCCTGCAACTCCGTCTCCAAGTTCTTGACCCTCGCCTTGAGCAAGTCTATCTCTTCCTCTTTCACCTGTCGCAATAAACAACATTAGTGAACTGAAAAATGTTTTGAAAAGAAAAATGATTTAAATATTGTGGTGGGAAATTAATATCTGATTTCAAATAAAAGGATTGTGTGGTTTTATGAAGCCAAGGTAAAAGTGAAACTTTGGGGGGGGGGGCAGTGAGGGTGCGACCTGGGCTGGGGGGGCGAGGGTGCGACACAGGGGGGAGGGTACAACCCAGGCTGGGGAGGAGGGTGCAACCCGGGGGGAGCACCGGTGCAAGCGCCGCCACCCTGCCTGTGACGTATTCAACTACGTTTCTCTTACCAATTAACCAATTTTCTAAGAGCCTCGACCACTATATCTTTCATCATAAAGGGGCCGCGGACATTGCATTCGAGGTAATTGTAATATCAAATTTTAATGTTGATATGTGAGTTCCCATGCTCGTTGAGTGCCACGGGAGGGCTGTACATGAGGAGTGCCGAGGTTACCTTGAGCTCGAGGCGGAGTCCGCTCTCGGCCGTGTCGCTCTTCACCTTCTCCAGCTCGTTGATCTTCTCGAGGAGCTCCTTCTCCCTTTGCTGCCAGTCTCCCTCAATCTAACCCAAACAAGATTTACATCAAATTTGTGGACGAGACGGAATGCTCTGTTGAATTTGTTAATATTGACATTTTATGAGTCGTCTGATTTACTGGTAAATTTAAAACACACTACATGTTTATTCCCTACATGTGTATTTCCTTATACTATATTATTACAGAGGTGATCAACTTGGTAGATCGTAGCCAAATTTTTTTGGAACGAAGTTCCTTATGGGACGTTGCGGAGGGGTACCCTCACCGGGAAAAAACGTCCGTAACGTAAGATTTTTATTAGTAACTAGCGACCCGCCCTCGCTTCGCTTCGGAAACATCAAAACACACATGAAACCAAAAAAATAAAATAAAAAAAAATTAAAAAAAAAGTAGCCTATGTTCATCAGGGACAATGTCGGCTTCTAATGGAAAAAGAATTTTTCAAATCGGTCCAGTAGTTTCGGAGCCTATTCGAAACAAACAAACAAACAAATCTTTCCTCTTTATAATATTAGTATAGATATAGATGCACAGTGTATGACTTAACTTTGTAATAACGTACAAAAATAACATTTTTTTATCATTCATTGACCGCGATCTCAGAGCGTTCGTTTGCGCAATACACTAACTCTTATGCAAACAACCGTGAATGAAGTGTACCACGCACGTTACCGAATGACCTTGGGTTGTTGCGAAACCTTCAGTTTTATTTTCTTTATACTTCGAATAAAACTTAAAATTAATATTTTTATAATAAGGAGCTTTGGAGGAGGAAGATTTGGATCCTAATGTGAAACTTTTACGTAATAATAAAGAAGAAGTTATACATAAGAATAGAACCAAACTGTAGTTAAATAAAATAAAATAAAAATTAATTATATGTATTTTTTTTCTATTTTGGTGGGGCGTGTGGTGTAATAAGATATAAGACAGTAATAAATAAGTATTTGAATAGTAAAGACGTGTTTGATATTCGCTGCGGCGATCAATCCTTTATACTAACAGCGAATAGACCTTTGAGCTTAGTACGACTTTATTAACTTCTCGATCGCGTAAAAGTTAACTCAAATATGTATGGAGTTGGAGTGACGTTGAGTTAACTTTTACGCGATCGAGAAGTTAAAAAAACTCGCACTAAGCTCACAGCTGGTCTGGTGCGTTCAACAAACACAAATCAACAAAGCCTTCTAGTACAGACGTTTCTCGTATAACGCGATCATTCGTATGGAATGATGGCTATGGAATGAGCTCCCGCGGTGTTTCCCAAGCGCTATGGCATGTCCTTCTTCAAACGAGGCTTGTGGAGAGTATTAAGCGGTAGGCAGCGGCTTGGCTCTGCCCCTGGCATTGCTGAAGTCCATGGGCGACGGTTACCACTTACCATCAGGTGGGCCGTATGCTCGTCTGCCTACAAAGGCAAAAAAAACCGCGTTATATTGAAACCGTGTTTTACAAGTGCCGCGTTATAGGCGCTACGCCTGTCACACGCGGTGTGCGCTCCACTCACTTTGATGGCCGGTGCGTTATTGTCGATGACGTCATCAGTGTTGCCAGCCTTTGTTTCTGTTTGATTGTTCTCAACCGGCTTGTCTGCTGAGGCTTCCTTCTCTGTTCCTTCGGGCTGCTCTGTTTCAGCATCGGCTGAGATAGGCTCGAACTAGAGGAGAGATTTATGACGTCTTGAACTCTTTAACGAATATTATAAAATGTACCTAGTACAATACGCTATATTGAATTGATATTTGATTTATTAGAAAATAAAATAAAATACTTTACAACAGATTTCCTGTTCGTAAGGACTGATATTATAAGAAAAGAAAATAATAGACGTATTTATTGCAAAATAAAATGGATATACTGCTACGCTATGATAATTTTTAGAAGAATTTCGACATTTTTTTTTCCATGATCTCTCTTACCGTTTCTATCTTTACAACTACGAACGTTGGTTGTTCCTCACTAGGCGCTGATGCTGGTGCTACACCCTCACCACCTCCACCACCCTGAGTTTGCTCTGGTTCCGACTGAAAAAAGGTTATACAGCAAATGTTAAAATTAATATTTTGGTATGACAGTCGTCGCAGTGCTAATTCAGCTGCTCTAAATCGAGCATAACTTTAACTCTGCCATGGATGAGAAATTAGGAGGATTGAATTGGAGTTCGACCTTTCCGTAAAACAGTCACCACCGAATGTCGGGAGGCGGTTAATTAGCCGGACCCATCGATATATCGCAAATACGGTGCGATAACGTGACTTACGCAAATTATGTATTTTTTTCAGGAGAAACGTTGGAAAATTCAACATCTTATTATATGAACTATAGACTAAAGAAATAAAAATGATAATACCTATTTAAACTAAAACTTTAAATTTCATCAGTAAAAGTAAAAAATCTCACTGATAACTATTAAAAAATGTATTTTCTCATAAGTGTTAACGAAAATTGCAAAAGTGATTTTCTAGCACCGTATGTGCGTATTTAAGTCAATGGCCGGACCCAAATAAGGCTTCAGCAGTCTCGAAGAAGTAAATCTCTTCCAAAAACACTGCCGTGAAAAGACGCGGGGCTCCGCCATTTGTATTTTTCCAAAATAGCTTTTTGAGGCCACGACCCTCAGCATTGAGAATTATCGACGCAAGGAGAAGGAAACGAGCTTAATCGATCGAAATGCGACTCCCTTTTTCTCTTATTTATGGTGTGAGACTTAAGGCATAAGTTTGAGATTTTGATCTCTTTCCTCGAGGTATGCTACACCACCCTACCTAACGATACGTGAACCAGAACCTTTTTTTTTTAACGCCGTGGAATACGTTTACGGATACCCGGTCGAGAGGAATATAAATAATATAATAAAATAAATATAATAGAAATATATATAAATAACCGAAACCTAACTTGACCATCGATAACAATAAACATGAAACATTACACGAACATGAAAGATACTATCTCAAACAGAAACTGGAACTACAACAAAAAACAATCGAGTTGAAAGTAATCAACTCAATTTCAATTATCTAAACGAACAAAACTATAAGCATTCATACTTATATAAGCAGATGAATATTAGTATTTTCTTAGGTTTGCGCAAATCGTGGACATATATAATTAAAAGTACTTTTAAGGTACTTTTAATTATATATCTCGCTGTTTTTATTTTCACTAAATCATTTGTAACGTTTCGTGCCAGCCAAAACTGTATATGAAAAATCGGAAATAATATTATAGTGACAATAAATGAATATTATTTATAACGTATTTTAACCTACATTAAATACATTATACACGAAAACACTGGCTATTTAAAAACGAAAATACCTAACACTCTTGCGATAGAATTCTCCAAAATAATTTCCTCGTCCAAATTTAATTATATTTTCTTACAAATAATTAAATCCTGAATCAACATAACCTAATACGTCTCGCAAATTCGCAAAGCAAACATTAATTCCGACAACAACTTTCGCGCGCTTTTCACACGACGCTAAACCGGAGCCGCTGGTAGGCAAAGAACTTAATTTACAAACATCAACAGATATGTTCATTTTATTCTGAAATAATATATAGATATTAAATGTCGAAGTAATGAATAATAGTAATTCGAGCTGGAAAAACAATGACATACATGAACATTGATTAAAAAAAATACATTTGACATTTGAAATCTATATATTAATACATGAAGTAAAAACTTTGTATCCCTTTTTACGAAAATTGCGCGGACGGAGGGGGTATGAAATTTTCCACACTTATAGAGAATATAGAGAAGAAGTGCACAATGCTAATTTTAAATAATTTAAATTTTAAATAATGCTTCACAGGTACAATAAATCAATAAAGAAAACATTACACACACTACCATGTATTTGACGCACACACGCAGGCATACTATTTGTTTATTGTCAAACTTTTGTTCTTGACGTTGGGGTCAAATGAAGTCGTCGTGGCCTAAAGGATAAGACGTCCGGTGCATTCGTATGTAGCGATGCACCGGTGTTCGAATCCCGCAGGCGGGTACCAATTTTTCTAATGAAGTACGTACTCAACAAATGTTCACGATTGACTTCCACGGCGAAGGAATAACATCGTGTAATAAAAACCAAACCCGCAAAATTATAATTTGCGTAATCACTGGTGGTAGGACCTCTTGTGAGTCCGCACGGGTAGGTACCTACCACCCCGCCTATTTCTGCCGTGAAGCAGTAACGCGTTTCGGTTTGCAGGGCAGCCGTTGTAACTATGCGGGATCACTAGTACGATTAATTTGATGATAAATATAGTTTCACAAATTGTATTATTAACCGAAACAAGACAATAGAATTTAATGTTTCGCATTGAGAAATCATAGATTAAAAAAATAAAGAACGTTGTTAAAATAATTTTAATTACAATATTAAATTTAATTATCACTATAAAATAGCATGTTTATTTAGTAAAAACGAACGCCAAAATAATCTGAAGTTTAGGATAAAATTTAGTACTCGGAATACCATAATACGATGAAAGAAATCCCTATGCCTACACGGTAAAAACAAAAACCGATCATGTTTCAAGTAGCTCAGTCTCAAACCTAAAATATATCAGTAGAAGCGTACATAAATAATACACATAAACTAGTAATAGATAAGCAACTCAAGCACTCAACAAAAATGTTTACGGGCGTCGGCCACTAGATGGCTTCGCTTCGATTAGTTTCTCATTGCTCTTGTAAATGAGAGTAACCTATTATCTATCTTATATTTTATTTTTAATAAAGGATTTTGTAAATTTTAAGAAACCAGTATTTGATAAAATTTAATCAATTTGTCTATAACAAATAAAAACTTGTGTGATTTATTAGTTTTTTATTTTGGTTATTTAGTTACACGATAATTAAATGTCTTAACTTTAACAACATATAAGTTTAGGAGCATCCGCTACAAGATGTCGATACTTTCCGTACAAGAAAAATATTTTTCTTAAAGTATCGCAGTTCCAGGGACTTGGAAGCGTACGCGCGAACGAATAGATTTATCTAGAATCTGAATAGAAATTTGAGACGCATTTACGCAAACAATAAGCTTATTTCTTAATCAGAACGATACCCATTTAGTCCTGATTTAGCACGATCCACATAGGAAATTTGTTGGACACACACAAATCCAGAATGCGGCATGCCCGAGCATTAATTTCACGTAACGAATGTAGGCGAGCGCGCAAATTAAACACGTTGATACAATAATTATATTACCATTTAGTATTACAAGTGCATAACAAAGTCATGGATGTACATACACTCCGCATTGTCTACTCATAAAGTATCCTTTTTTCGGGCAGGGGGGCCGAACCTTCGACGAGGTGTCCGAGCCTAGGGGGCACGCGCTGGGTGTGTGGAACTTGAGTGTTTGCAGATGTTGGGAGCAGACCGTGGGTCCAAGGATGTTTTTAACGCCCTACCCAACCAAATAATAGGTTGGGGAAAAGTCTTTTCGCGTTATAGTATGTATGAACTTGTAATAAAATCTCTTTGGCTATACTATTTGTATCTGGCTGGTTTTGATAGGTATCATTAAAAGTTTAAATTTTAAAGAAGATAATTCCAAATTCAAATTAGGAAAATGTGTGGTTTTTATTTATTTATCGTACTGTCAAGATGAGTGATCTAATGGAGAAATTCGATATATTTTAAAATTTTACTACAAAAAGGTAAAAATGCAACGCAAGCCGCGAAAAAAATTTGCGATATTTACGGACCTAGTGCAGTGTCTGTGAGAGTAGCACAAATTTGGTTTAAGCATTTTCGATCCGGAAATCTTGATGTCAAAGATGCACGTCGTTCTGGTCGCCCTATTACGGATAAAATGGATGCCATTTTTGAAAAAGTGGAGCAATATCGGCATATCGGTAGTTACGACGTAGCTAAAGAACTGGGAATTGACCACAAAACAGTTTTGGCGCATTTGAAAAAAACTGGGAACACTAAAAAGTTCGATATTTGGGTACCTCACGAGCTCACTGAAAGAAACCTAATCAACCGTGTACTAATTTGTGATTCTTTATTACGACGTAATGAAACAGAACCATTTTTGAAGGAGCTGATAACTGGTGATGAAATGTGGATCACGTACGACAAGAAAGTGTGAAAAAGGTCGTGGTCAAAGGCCGGTCAGGCTTCACAGACCGATGCGAAACCCGGGTTAACTCGCAACAAGGTGATGCTGTGTGTGTGGTGGGATTGGAAGGGCATTATTCATTATGAGCTGTTACCACCAGGCAGCACCATCGATTCTGAACTCTACTGCGAACAACTGATGAGATTAAAGCAAGTAGAGAGAAAGCGGCCGGAATTAATAAACAGAAGGGGTGCGGTTTTTCATCATGGTAACGAAATTGCATGGCACTTCTAGTTGGACATGTACTTAGTAATCGACCGAGAGGGCTGGTGGTGGCGCCGACGACCGCCGGTCCGGTCGGGAGGGTGAAGGGAGAGACGTACTCCGCACCAAACGCTTCACTCTCCCCCATTTGCCTTTTCACGAGTTCTGTCTCATGCGAGGCTCGGACGCGGGCTGTTGAGCGACAGGATGTTTTACTCCGCAACATGCCCCGCCCGCCATCTCCAGTGGAGGGCGAAAGTCCGGCGATTTCCTATTGACCCAAAATAAAGTCCTTAACCGGGGCCTATTTGCAAATGTCCGTGTCACATACCTACTTAGCTGTTACATATCATGTATATAAACGACGTGCTTTGTTAAAACTTACTGTATTTCTGTTGTCGATGATCGATCTGTGTGCTTAGTGCGAGTTTCTTAACGTTCTCGATAGTGTAAAAGTTAGCTCATATTTGTATGGAATGGGATCGTTTGCGTATGTTTGCCGCTAGGGGGCGCTGATCTAACTGCATACAAAATTGGCTTAACTTTTACGCTATCGAGAACTTTAAGAAACTCGCACTAAGCACACTGTTTCCACGTACTCAATGATAACCGAAGCTACACAATATCTAATCAAAACAATACCTAGTATGCATGCTTTATTTTTCCGTATCTTAATCTTGTTTTTGTACTCCAGTTAGATCACTATTTTCAACTTCAATGCTATGGATAGACTCACGGAATAGGTATAATTAATGTTGGAAAGGCCTTCGCTTCAATTTTGTATTAGGACCAGTGTCGTCGCTTGACTCTCACTCTTAGAGTAAACATATGGCTTGCATGAGTGTACCAGGCTTAACCACAAGCCGGGAGGAGTGGCGATTGCTCGTGAGGCGTATAGCATCTGCCCACAGCAATGATGCTGGATGACGACCACGACCGCTCTGACAAGAGTGATACGACATACGAATATGAATAATGTATACTCCCACTATTAAGCTCCCAGTATTTTAATTTCTACACATATACGCAATGCTATGATTACAAATATTTCGCACACAACATATCATCCATACATAAATCTCAGGGCAGATATTCGTTCGATTTTCCGACGTGATAGTAGATTCTGCGAAGCAGAGCTCTTGCCAGGGCCAGCGCTGGCAACACTCTCGGTTTGAGGCCCGTGAGCTCACGTACGTCGTACACGTTAAGGCGAAGCTGAAATAGCCTCTCAAAAAATATTCGTTCGCAAACTTAAGCTCCCGTAAGCATAGACACTCACAAACGCAAAAAACGAATAAAAATGTTCATACACGCTAGTGTTTGATAAAGTCGATATTGTTTATCGATATAGTTGATTATTGATAACACAAATAAAACAACATTTTCTGAAAATAAATCGTAGTTAGATCGATTTATCGCCCCCGAAATCCCCTGTATACGAAATTTTATGAAAATCGTTGGAGCCGTTTCCGAGATTCAGATTATATATATCTTTATATACAAGAATTGCTCGTTTAAAGATATAAGATAACAGATTCTGATATTTTACAGATCAGTATCAATTATTTTGACGGATATAACAAACCACCATTATCTTTAGCCAGTATGAATAATGTTCTCCATTTATACTATTGAACAATAGCGCTCCAATCCATATATCGCAATCCAGTTTCTTAATTAAAGTATGCGCCATATATCCTGCAATACGGCTAATGACTTGATTACTAAAATCTGAGATGGTATTGAAAAATGCGTTAATATCCTCTTCTTTATTATTATCATTATCATAGTCATCATCTTCAACCGCAATCCGCAAATTATAGAACTTAGTTCCTACAAAGTATTAATACATTTTAACAAAACTTACCAAATAACTTGAACAAATCTGAACAATTTTTATTCTTGGGATTGCCCCCGGTTTTAAATACCTATACCCTGATTTTTTTATGATAAAATCTTTTTCCGCAAAATGTTTAGAACAAATAGTACTATTCTTTGTCGGCATCCAGTTTCCTCTACCTGTCACGTCAATCCATTTTTCCTTGGCGTTAGGTTCTTTAGGAAACCTAAAATTTATAATTTATTGCATAAGTCATATTGCATTTTCTTTAGATTTTAACATTTAGACAATATAGTAAATACGCGTAGATGAGAGATCTTTAAGTCCCTTCATATTATTCCTTAACATTTATTCAATGATTATTATTTTATAATATTTAATTTACTCAAAATACGTTTAACTAAACATATACTAGGTATCATTAATTAAACATAAAATAATACAAAAAATATCTATGTCAAACGTAAATATATTTGAGAATTCTGTCGATGATTTTATTCAACCACATGGTCACCTCACTATCGATAAACTAGCTCCACGCGTCACAGCCAATCAGGGCAGAGGCCGAAATTTCAATGTATCAGTGTAGAGAACGCAATGCGTGTAGTACATTGGAAGCGGACTTGGTCATTGCATTGATTGATGGTGTACACATCGCGCAATGTATATTTTTTTTTATCTTCTTGCAATAATGTTGTTCATGTTTGGAATTTCATAATGATCAGTATATTTTTATGTTTTTGGCAATTAATATTGTAATTAAATGGTATTTTCGACTTACCGATGGAAAGATATACCTCCTCGCTCTATACTTGAGGTCTGACTTTTTGTATGACAAGTTATAATTGCACAACACGGCATTTTAAAACAGAGCTTTGTCCGCCGAAGTCCGTAGGGCACTAAACACGGTGAATGAATGAATCGGTCGAGTTACGATTTTCGAATCATACTAGTTATAGCGCGCATGCGCTGGCTACATTACTATTCCAACCTTAAAGTTATGTATTCCGTGGAAAGACCACAAATAAATTTAAAATTTATAAATTTAAAATTAAATTTTCTAAAATAAATTTAAATTTAAAAATTATAAATAATATCCTTTTTGTCATTCTAGAATTTATAAAGATGCTAGCAAACATATGTAGTCAGGCGTGATTTTGTAGTGAAAACAGTCCTACCCATAATTTGTCGAAACGACATACTCTTGACCAAATAGAATTCATTTTGGCACATAAATGAATATGTAACTCCACAACTAAAATTCACCCAGCTATCATTCTTCGTCGTCGTGTGGATATTTGACAATGATATCAAGACATCTGACTACTTTGGTTCTAATGTCTAAAAATGACACTAACCTACAATACACATATCACACAAAACCAATAGGTTTTTTCTTTAAAAGGTTTCACTCACCATTTTCAATAATTCAATGTTTAATTTGCAATATCTTACAGAAAATTAAAACACAAAAGTATGAGAGGAATGACTTTCAAAGCTTCACGGTTCTAATTTTGGATAAGCAGACGCAGTTAGGTAAAAATAGAAATACAGCACATAATGATGTCGTAGAAAATCGAATTTGCCGCGTTGAAGATTTTTTTAAGGGATATAAGGACCTAGTAACTAGGACCTATAAGTCATATTTTAATTTATATTCTTCTTATAATAAACTGGGATGAAATTAAATGAAACGAGATGATATGGGATGAAATATAAGCTCAGTAAAATGATGGTCATTTACTGAGGTTTTTTCAATGCACTTTTTGGAGGATCCCGAGAAGTTACGTCCAGCTATTTTGTTTCATTTTCCCACATTTATGTACTTTCACAGATATTAAACAGTTAATAAGTTACTGTTATTACACATTTAAACCTGAAAAAACACTAAATAGACAAAATAAAACAAATCACCCAACTTCACTCCTCGCATTCCCGCCAAAAACTAATCCCGCCTTGAAGATAGTAGTAGGTAAAAGATGGCACAAATTAAAATTATATTAAAAGATTATAAAGTTCAGGTAAATAAACACAACAGCTAGATTTTAACAGATTTGATTATGTTTGTATTACATAATGGCCAATCTACAATCATTTTCTTAGCTTACAAAATTTAAGGTGAAACTGTTGATTACCTACCATACTCCATAATTTTTATATCGGCTAAATGTTATTTATTCTTTAGCGTTTTTATACTAAATAAAGAACTTTTTCTTTCTTAATAAATTATTTTAAAAGAAGCATCATAATTATTTTTTTATATACGTTTGAAAAATGTAACATTCTGTCAAGAATCGTAACATTGTTATCAGAATTCCTAGGAGTATATGAGCTATGTTCCTTTTGCCTCTTCGATACACGAATCAAATAAAAGTATATTCATAGATTATACACTTAATATATTAGAGATAGATGCGCAACTCTCATTTTTATTTTTGCTTTAGTTAAAGCCCGGTCCAGCAGGCGTCGCTACGGTCGATTATTAGTCTCCCTACTCCGCACCAGGTGGCTTTTTTAGTAATTTTAATATTTTTAATAACTCTCTTTATGAAAAAATCTTATCGTTTAGAATCGCTGAANCCAAAATATCAGCTATTTTCCCTAAAAAAGGGAGAATTCCCTAAAAGTGGAAGCACTGCTTCAAAGTCGCTAACATTTTTTATTGAGTCAGAACTCGTATCTGCCATCTAGTGAGTTTATTAGTTCATTAAGGCCAAAACGTTTCAAAAATGACCTCGCCGGTTCCTAAAGATGGCGCTAGTTGAATGTTCTTTTTCTTTGTATGGAAGTTGCACCCCCCTGAGTATATTTTGTGGTGAAGATAGAATAAATAGTAAACACAATTTTTTTTCAAATTATAAGAACTAGAAGTATGTTTGTATGGAATGAACGTTAAAAATATGTTAATCCATTCCTGAAGTTTGAAAAAGTAATCATTTAAATACGTAGCGAACAATTACCAAAAAGTATCAAACACTACACTAGACAATCGCTACAGTTTTGGTAAAATGTCTCTCAGTTCTGATAAAGCACTCATAAAGCTATGAAGGCTATTAACCAAAAATTTTGAATTATTGACCATTTGAATTATCCATTTTATTTTAATCCATATTTAAATTACATAGAAATTTTTCACATCTAAGAAGCCGGTCATTTTTTAACACTTCATCTTGTACGATATACATAATTTAAATTTCAGCAACTACCATGACATCGGAGAGGAACGCTCAAGTAGGCCAAGCGCGGGAAACCTTTCAATTAATCCACCAGATATCACAACTCCTCAACACGGGGCTGGACGTGGAAGCACTGTCAACTTGCATCAGACTATGCGAGTTGGGCGTAGACCCTGAAGTTCTGGCTCACGTTATCAAGGAAATCAGAAAAATGGGAGAAAATGTTCAAAAAGCATATAATTTACAAACATAGATAAAGCCAACTATCAGAAATTTACAATCACGAATTTCCAAACAAACAAATGACAAGAATGATTTTTAAATCTATACTAGATTTATCATACTTTAATGCCCCAAATATAAGTAGGTATGAAATACCCCAATATTTAAATAAAAATAAATGTCTATTCTCTTGCACTTTGTAATGCATTTGAAGACTAACATACCTTCTTTCTGTCAAGAAGTAATTTAGATTCAACTAATTTTAAATATCCTAATTTTAATTTTTATCTTAAATTATAAATAAAAAGTAGTAGTCTTTGTGAACTGTGTCTGAACCGTAATATTATTATGCAATACAATAAAATACATGTATTTGCTACACTAAGCCAGTTTATGCTTACACGTGTGATTTAATAAGTTCACGTTTCATAGGTCTTCATAAAATACAATTAAAAATAAGTGCTATTTATGATGTTCGTTAGTATGTCTAGAATTATCAGTATTTCTATAACTCTGTTTCGGGAATAAACACTATTACTAGGTGTGATAAAATTGTCCCAAAAATATAGTTTGTCTAATATTCAAATTACACTGTTTCAATAATTTATGATAGTTTCTTATAATAAGACTTTCTGTCCAGTGATTGATAATTAAGCATTATGGTTGAGCATTCAACTCCCAAGGGCTTGATGTAAACTATAAAACTCTACTTAAAAGTGACCACAGAATCAAAAAACATTCAAAATTGTACAATCAGCAAAACTGCAACCACTATATCATGCCTAAGTTCAATCATAGGAAGATCTCATACTAATCAATATTGGAATCATCATAAAATATATCACCCAGGTTTAAATTATTTTATATTAATCAAATCAAGGTAGGTACCTAAAACCCCATGATTGTCAAGTTGCAGAAACCAAATCTCAAAGCAAATCAAATAGACCTCAATAATATTATTTATAATGGTATTTTATTCATGTTAGATTAACATGTTAATATACATAAAATTCAATATTTTTATACCACTTTTAACTTAACTAATTTGATAAATAATATTTGACTGATTGAAAAAACCTGTAACATAACAATAAAAATAAAAACAAGTTTCTTTAGTCTTTTATTACCTCTCATTTTTACAAGAAACATCCCAACTATTACATCGATGAATAAATTATAACAACAATATACAAGATCAGCATCAGCCTAGTTAATCACAAGACAGGATAATAATCTTAATGACTAACTTTAACTTTCACTAATGCCACATACATGCAATTTCAAAGTCACTCTCAACCATGGGAACAAATAATTAAGTTGAAAGTAACATTCCTGCTTATGGCAATACAGTAAGTACATAAAAAGTTGATAAGATAAAAATTAAAGTAAGAGAATTTTGTAATAAAGTAATTCCATCTGAGACTAATGAATAACAGATAATTTAGTAATACACAGTCAAGTATGGCTTGTTACCACATTCTAGTCTAGACCATAATGCCATGATGTACATACTTATAGCCACAAGCTGTAGACAATAGGTGTGGAAATGTTTTTTGTTAAAATTCGTATTATCAAATGAATGATGATTATTACATAACACAGTAAACAATGAATAAAATTATTAAGAGAATAGAGTGAACTTATAAACAACAGTACGGGACTGTAATTATCACAGATGCAAATAAATCCACTCTGATCAACTGCAAATGATGTACATATATGTTTTTTACAACTAAAATGGCCAACAGGCAAGAGATTTTTTGTAAGACTGTATGGCTTAGTTTAGGTGTGATTTCTGTGCTACCAAAAAATTGTTGTGATGAAACTGAAAATACTCAAGAGAAAGATAACAGTTTAATGCAACACCTGTAGGGAGGGCAGCATTTTGGTTGAAATTTTTCAAACAAGATACACATCTTGCTTAATAAGCTTAATAAGTAAACACTACTTATTAAGCTTATTTCAAATATACAATTATGGTTGAAATGGCATTATGTATGGTACTGTATTTTTATGTATCTTACCAACAGTGAAGATAATAGAGAAACATACTAAGTAGATTATAATATTGTTTCTCTTTGCCTGTTTAAGAATAGCAAGTATTTAGAAAATAACGTTTTCATATTTATTTTCCTGTAGTCTACAAAGCCTGATTTAAAATAATTACATCAAGAAACTTTCGTGCATACCTCCAGCTATCAACCAGACACAGATAGACTATATAGCATTTTAACAGATTTAAATTTTAGTTTAAGTCAATTTGTTTGTTACTAATTTTTTATACTTCAAAAATACTACTCTGAGTAAAGCCACACAGTCCATTTCCAAAACAACATAATCTATTGGTAAGACTGAGCCTGTCCTTGACTTTGACCTAAGATGGAAGGATCTTCAAATATCGGTTGCTGTGGTTTGAACTGTTCAGCCGTTAATCTTGTGAACATGATACCAATGCCTTCTATTAGAGCTAAGAGAATTCCTCCAATAAGTGCACTTCCTGCCATTGCCGGTACACCTGTAAAAATGTTTTTGTTTATTTCATCATCTAAATATGTCATTTGTATAATTTTTTCTATAATCTCTGATTCATAGATATTTTGATAGATAATTATTATGTACCTTAATATCTTGGTACATATCAACGAAATCCTTTTAACGGGGCTATCAGATGTAGCTTTCCTTGTAATATTTGCCATCGTTTATTAGTGGCTTAGTCGGTTATTAATTTATTTTCAATAAAATGGGCATTTAATTAAGCTAATATATACAATTAAGCTAGGATTGATTTTATTTCGTAACAAATCTATTCCTAAAATAGAAACTAATATACTGTTCCTTACCATTTCTTGCAGCCAGGATACCCCCCGTGAGGGCTCCACTCATAATGGAATTCCATGGATCTTCCTTTTGCCTCATGTACACAAGTGAGCAGTCTATGGTAGAGAACATACCACCCCAAACAGCAAAATTACCCCCGACTATTGGAGAGCGCTCCTTTACTGCAGCCAAACTGCCAAGCTATGGAATTTATTTAGCATTACTTATCAAAAATGTATACACCTTTTCACACAGATATTTTTAGGTAAAAGTATAATAAAGTTTTTTCAGTTCATGATAGCTTAAAATTGTCTTTAAAATAACATTACAGTGAAGAAATTTTCGAAGATAAATATAAAGTTATTTGAATTTTTCAATGTTTGAACAAATTTTCAAGGTCTAGTACAATAAATGTCAATCATTATTTTTAAGTTGTTTATATGCGTTAAATACAAGTGGTAATCTTTTTGGAGTCTACGAGAAGCAAAGTACGTAAAAATTAATACTTACCATTTTTCTACTGAAGCCTAGTGGTGCGTTTCTGAAACCTTTTATCGAATGAAATAGTCCACCACCGATCGCTCCCATTATAAACGCACCGCCAGAGTCATCAAGGATACGCCACGGGCATGGTTCTCTTGTATATTCATCCATGATATATTAATTTTCAAAGTTCAAACTAAAACCAGGGTTAGATAAGAATGCAATTTAACCTCAAATTTAGCTATGATTTTATTGGATTAAATATTTCGATCTTACTTTGTGACTGTTTATTTTTAGGCCTGCAACAAGAACGGATCTCGCACTACTTTTATGTTAATAATTGGGGGTTTAATTAAATACATAAAGTCATCATATCTAAAAACTAAGCTAGTTCACACTTCACACTTCACAGTTCAATTCACAGAGCATAGATTAAACACTTTTTTTAAGGGATTTTATGACCTGGTAACTGAGATCTTTAAGTCATGTCTTATTTTAATTTATATTCATTTTTTTATGAAAAATGATATTATGGAGTGAAATGAAATGAAGATGATTAATTTGAGACATTAATCAACTGTGATGGAATTAAATGAAATGAAATGGGATGAAATATAATCTCAGTAAAATGGTAGTCATTTACTAAGATTATTTCAATGGACTTTTTGGAGGATCCCGAGAAGCTACGTCCAGCGGCTTTGTTTCATTTTCCCACATTTGTGCACTTTCACAGATATGAAACAGTTAATAAACCACTATAGGTTACATAAGTATAACATTACTAAGGTAGGATTGTGTACTTATGGACTTTTTGGCGGGAACGCGAGGAGTGAAGTTGTGTGATTTGTTTTATTTTGTCTATTTAGTGTTTCTTCGGGTTTAAAATGTGTAATAATGGTGGTTTATTAACTGTTTAATATCTGTGAAAGTGCACAAATGTGGGAAAATGAAACAAAGCCGCTGGACGTAACTTTTTGGAATCCTCCAAAAAGTCCACTGAAAAAATCTCAATAAATGACTACCATTTTACAGAGATTAAATTTTTCATACCATATCATCTCATCTCATTTCATTTGTTTTCATCCCAGTTGATTAATGTCTCAAATTAATCATCTTCATTTCGTTTCATTTCACTCCATATTATGATTTTGCATAAAAATATGAATATAAATTAAAATAAGACATGATGAAAGGTCTTAGTTACTAGGTCATAAAATCCCACAAATAAAAAAAACACATACACCTACTTTGTTTTGAATTAATTATTATTATTATGTGTCACTATGTGTAAAGTAAAGATATTCTCTTCTTTAATGCAAATAATAAAGTAACAAAATGTGAAATATGAATCATTCATTAAGTCGAATATATTGATGTTATTGTTCTTATAATCAGGGATATTTATTTTATGAAAATTCGTAATCTTTTTAGTTCTAGAAACGGTGTACTCTAAGGACAAAATAAAAAATGACCATTTACAATTTATACATATTCGATCGATATGGTACTTTATTGTATTATGGTGAGTGGAATCGTTCAAAACAGTCTGGAATGTCTATAGAGGAGGTAACTAATATTTTAAAACATGCTTATGAAATTTTACCATTTAATTTTGAAAAAGCAGACACTGAACTTCAAGAATTATTTTCCTTTCAGGAAGGCAAATTAATGTACGGAATGCTTTTCTCGATAAAATCATTCGTTTCAAAGATTTCACCTTTAGATCCTAAAGATGGATTTAGTCATTATAAAACTTCAAAATACACCCTTCACTGCCTGGAGACACCCTCAGGGCTGAAGTTTGTGATGAATACAGACAACCAAGCACAGGGCGTCCGAGATCTCCTAAAAAAGATTTATGCTGAAATTTATGTTAAATATATGATAAGAAATCCGTTATGTGAAATGGGTGAACCCATTGTCAGTGACCTATTTAAAAGTAAATTAGATTTGTTTATCAAACAGACTCCTATTCATACTGTCAGAGCTTCTTGATAAATGTTACATTTTAAGAGAAAATAAATTATGTTAATGAAATAAAAATGTTATTTATTTATATGGATTATCATATAAATAATTTTTTATATTATTGCTTACCTACACCATTACTTTTAATAATACCATTCGTCTTTGCTTATCACATATTGTCATAATAATACTGCAACAGCTAGTTTTTATCACTATGATGACAATGGAAAGCAAACGATACCAAATAGTTAGTCTTAGATATAATTAGAGCTACTTTTTCAGCTTAATTTCACTTTTATTATTTCTCTTATTTGTGTCACCCATGATTATAATAACAGGAAATGAAATGGAAGTCATATGTGAAGCAGTAAGTTGTTCAGTAGTTAAAGCACAAAGAGTATGGACCACAAACAAAAGACAAATAACACGAGCCTCACTCAATGCTAAGTACTGCACCTAAATGTACTATTGTGATTGTTGTATAAGAAAAACATTAAAAACTCTGAGGATATCAGAGTTTCGTCTTCCAGACTGGAAATCTCTATAACCTATTAAAAAAATCTTGCTTTATCAAAAATTTCTGTAAATTCTATAATTGAATGAATAATGAAATGAACATCTAAAGCTGCACTAGTAGGTTCTTATGAAATTTTACTTGGCATGGAGAGGAGTGAGGAGAACGGAGGTAAGCTTAATGCACATTGATGAGGGTCCCTTAAACCTAAGCCAGGGTCGCATGGTCCATGGATTGTTTTTTTTGCCCTTGTAGGCAGACGAGCATGCGGTCCACCTGATGATGAGTGGTGACAATGCCAGGGGAAGAACTGAGCCGCTGCCTACCTTAACATATTCGTCAGTGTTATAAACAGAAATAATGTATCGAGAATATTGTGTTTATTATAATCTTAAAATTACAGATTATTGCATTTGGAACAAGTCAATGCAATTTAAAGAAAAACTTAAATTAATCTAATTGGAACAATGGTGTTTCTTTTAGTTTTTTTTTAGGATCCTGAATATAATAATATTACTGGTGGTGGGACGTCTTGTGAGTCCGCACGAGTAGGCACCACCCTGCCTATTTCTGCCATGAAGCAGTAATGCGTTTCGGTTTGAAGGGTGGGGCAGCCGTTGTAACTATACTGAGACCTTAGAACTCATATGTCAAAGTTGGTGGCGGCATTTACATTGTAGACGTCTATGGGCTCCGGTAACCACTTAACACCAGGTGGGCAGTGAGATCGTTCACCCACTTATGCAATAAAAAATAGGTACGTATATATTTTTTAAAAGGATTTTATGAACTGGTTACTAAGACCTTTAAGGTCAAGTCTTATTTTAATTTCAGTGAAAACTTTTTTATATGAAAAATGATAATATGGAATGATATGAAACGAGATGAGATGATATGGTATGAGTTAAAATCTCAGAGTTGAATGAAGTTAGCCCCTCAAAAAAATTTTTTTTTCCTGTTTTCTACTTATTTTCTATTAATTCGTTTGTTCATCATTTGTTCTTGATTGTTCACTGTTAATAACTGTTTGTTCCCCTGTTATTTATTTTAAAAAAATTATTAAAAATATATCTACAAGTTAGCCCCTCGATTGCAATTTTTAATATTTTTTCGTCCTTAATTACTCGTAAATATTCATTTTCGATTGTTCTTATATAAAATACATTTGTTCTCTTTCGAAATTACTCATTTTTTGTTTAATTAACTATTTGTATTAGTTGAATAAATGTATACAAAATATGTGTACTGCGCATGCCATAAGTGTATAATCTATGACGCATGCGTCAACTATAATGCCTAAACTTTCTACGCGGTTTTAATCGTGAAAAAAAAAAACAATTATAAATCCTGAAGGATCAATTAATTGGTATACAGTTTAATTAAAAAAATTAAAAAATATATAAATAAAATAATGTGCATTCGCGTAAAGTTAGACCAAATACATTTTTTCCATCCTCCTATATACCTATCGCTATGAAGGTTTAAAAAAGATAGGTTAAGAGTTCACATAGGTAATATAAACAAATAAGTAAATATGTTCATTATTTATCTTTCAAGAGATACTGTAGGTATACATTATAATAACATTTTGACACAGTCGAAATTATATTCCTAACATTAGTAAAATAACATTTTAATATTTTTTTTATAGGTTATGTATTGAAATTGTTGGAAAATTATTTCATGTTTTAGCTGGAAAACGACATGGAGAATTATATGCAATACAAGATAATGAGCTCCATCAAATGAATTCGAATGAAACCAAACTGTTNACTGTGTCAAAATGTTATTATAATGTATACCTACATTATCTCTTGAAAGATAAATAATGAACATATTTACTTATTTGTTTATATTACCTATGTGAACTCTTAACCTATCTTTTTTATACCTTCATAGCGATAGGTATATAGGAGGATGGAAAAAATGTATTTGGTCTAACTTTACGCGAATGCACATTATTTTATTTATATATTTTTTAATTTTTTTAATTAAACTGTATACCAATTAATTGATCCTTCAGGATTTATAATTGTTTTTTTTTTCACGATTAAAACCGCGTAAAAAGTTTAGGCATTATAGTTGACGCATGCGTCATAGATTATACACTTATGGCATGCGCAGTACACATATTTTGTATACATTTATTCAACTAATACAAATAGTTAATTAAACAAAAAATGAGTAATTTCGAAAGAGAACAAACGTATTTTATATAAGAACAATCGAAAATGAATATTTACGAGTAATTAAGGACGAAAAAATATAAAAAATTGCAATCGAGGGGCTAACTTGTAGATATATTTTTAATAATTTTTTTAAAATAAATAACAGGGGAACAAACAGTTATTAATAGTGAACAATCAAGAACAAATGATGAACAAACGAATTAATAGAAAATAAGTAGAAAACAGGAAAAAAAAATTTTTTTGAGGGGCTAACTTCATTCACCTAAATCTCAGTAAAGTGAAATCAAGATGGTATAGCCACAGATTAACTTAATAGTTACTATCACAGATTAATATATTAGGTAGGTAACGGTAATGTACTGGTTAATTCATCAGGTTTGAGCCCCGTGAGCTCACCTACTAGCCTCGGTTACGCTGAAATAGCATCTAAGGCTATCAGCTTAGGTAGGAAAAAAGGTTAATACGTTCTAAAGTGTGAACTTCGCGGTCTGTTTACATCTGGTGCATAATTATGATAATATATCGGTCTGGCGCGGGAACCTGCAACAGCGCACCTCGCACTCACGCTTACAATCTAAGACATTATTTGTGTAACTCGCCACAGCGTATAATTGTGTGGTGTCGGATCCCGGAAAAAACGGTCTTTACCGCCCCTCCAATCAAGAGGGGACCTAAAGCTAAGTAATGTCATAAAAATTTAGACGACATAGCGAAACTTCATCTCGAGTAGCTATCCCTTTATTAGAAGTTATGCCCAGTGAAAAATCTCATCCTGTCTCAAGCTTAAAATGGACAATTAATTAAATTTTGAAATCAAATGGAAAGAATCCGGTGGCACATAAATATACTATATACATACGATACGATACACAGATATATTTAATAATTATAAATAAATATAAAATAAATAAATTTTATAGCGTATGAAACATGCCCCTTTGCTTGTCTAGGTGGAAAAATACGATAAAAATGTTGACAGTTGTTAAATGTTGATATGTGACATGATATAAATCCAAACATAGCAACGGTTTGAATCTGATTGTTTCGGAGTAAAACTCAATTTAGTGTTTACTTATTTGAACTTATCTTTATAACACAGTACAATACACGTATTATGGCTTCTATTTCGTACGACAGAGACCCGTCCATTTTCTGTAATGAGTGATACTGACGACACGGACGTACTTTTATTGATACCACCGAATTTCTTCCTCGTTGAGAGTTCAGAATCCGAAGATTCCCTCCTGAAATCTTCTAGAACGGTCGTACGTAAACCTTTATCGTGTACAGCACAAGTTCTCGACAAATTAGTTACACAAGTTCACACTTTGGAATCACGGTTAGAAAACTTGGAAATTAGCAGTGATATTTCTACAATTGAGTCTCGTTCAAAACGAAACACAACCTGGATAAGTACAGACAGCTTTGATAGTCGTAGCTTAAACAGAAATTGCTTCACTTTCCCACGTCGGCGGCGACGAAAAGTACCTAAACGCGGTAGGCAAAGAGAGCGATCTTTAACTAGTTTGGACTCAATTAATAGCGCAGGAAGAAACGTGCCACCTTTAAAATTAACGACAGAATCTACTCCTGATGTCAAATATCTCGACATCCACGAAATTCAAAGCATGGATGGGGATATCAGTAGTATTGTATCAACTCCTAGTAAAACCAATGATAAACTATTACTCAATGAAATTGATGAGTTTTTAACAAAAGTAGAATCATATGAAAGTCCCGAGTCCAAATACAAGAGTCATGAAATGACTTTGTGCACTGAAAATGTGATAAAAGCTACAAGTGATTACCTTTCACAAAAACTAGATTCAAATGAAGAAATCAAACTGCCCAGCGGACGCGTGGTCTCCAGTAGTGTTTTAGATAAATATATTTATTTGGTTAAAAACAACTTGCCAACTAATTCCGAACAGTCACCTTCAAGTTCAAAAAACACAGTCAAAAGCTATGAGAACTCCAACACTACAAATGAAGTATCAAATACTGTAGAGACAAAGTCACCTAGTGCACGGAAATTGAATTTCGACAAAGAGTTTCAGCCTACATCAACACCAAACAAGCAGCAAACGACATACAATAGTTTTCAGCCTTCCTCAAATAAAATATATGACAGAGCATCAAGAGTCTTAGAACAATATAAGGCAAGTTACAGTAAAAATAAACCAGGTGCTACAGATAGCTACTCCGCATCTTCAAACCAGGAGCTCAAATTACCCGAAATGAGACCTTTTGGAGAAAACAGAGAAAGCTTAAAGTTCATACAGAATAAATATATTGATACCATCGACTCAGATTTGTTGAGTTTGAGTGAGTTGTGGGGTGATAAGGCAGAAAGGACTACAGGGTACAAC